ATGAACGAGAGGGAGGGAAGTGGAACAGTGAGGTTACAGGGGGCTGAGGTCAAGAAGGTGCAGGAGTTTAAGTATTTGGGGTCAACAGTCCAGTGTGATGGGGAGTGTAGGAAAGAGGGGAAGAGGCGAGTGCAGGCGGGTTGGAGTGGGTGGAGAAAGGTGTCAGGAGTGTTGTGTGACAGAAGAGTGTCAGCAAGAATCCAAGGAAAGGTGTACAAGACAGTAGTGAGACCAGCTATGCTGTATGGGTTAGAGACTGTAGCAGTGAGGAAAAGACAAGAGGCAGAGATGGAGGTAGCAGAGATGAGGATGTTGAGGTTCTCTTTAGGAGTGACCGGGATGGACAGGATTAGGAATGAGCACATCAGAGGGACAGCTCAGGTCGGCTGTTTTGGATACAAGGTCAGAGAGGCCAGATTGAGATGGTTTGGACATGTGCAAAGGAGGGATAGTGGTAATATTGGTAGAAGGATGTTGGAGATGGAGCTGCCAGGCAAGAGGTCAAGAGGAAGGGCAAAGAGAAGATATATGGATGTGCTAAAAGAGGACCTGAAGTTAATTGGGGTGAGAGTAGAGGATGCCGAGGATAGAGTTAGGTGGAAACAAATGATTCGCTGTGGCAACCCCTAGCGGGAACAGCCGGGAGAAGAAGAAGATTAACTTCGTTTTGGAGCCAGCCTCCAGTGGTCATTCGAGGAACTGCAGGTTTTGGCACTTCAGCCTTGGAGGTTGCCACTTGGACAAAACAGCTGCCAAAGTATCGATATCCACAGTTAAACGAGTCCTATGTTGACAAAACCCGAAAAGCTGCTCAGAGAAGAAGAAGCTGCTGCTCTAAGACCACCATAAAAAGTCTGATTATGGTTTGCAGCTGCACATAGTGTGGGGGAAGCTTTGCTGCCGGAGGGACTGGGCTACTTCACAGAATAGATGGCATCATGAGGAAGGAAGATGATGTGGATATACTGAAGCAACATCTGAAGACATCAGCCAGGAAGTCAAAGCTTGGTCACAAATGGGTCTTGTCCAAATGTACAATGACCAAAAGCAGACTTCCAAAGCAGTGCAAAAATGGCTTAAAGACAACAAAGTCAAGGTACTGGAGTGGCCGTCACAAAGCCCTGAGCTCAGTCCAATAAAACATTTGTGGGCAGAACTGAAAAAGTGTGTGCAAGCAAGGAGGCCTCCAAACCTGACCCAGTTCCACCAGTTCTGTCAGGAGGAATGGGCTGAAACTCCAGCAGCTTGTTGTAACAAGCTTGTGGAAGGCATCCCAAAACATTCGACTCAAGTTAAACAATTTAGAGACAATGCTACCATATATTAATGGAGTGTATATAAACTTTTGACCCACTGGGAATTATGATCAAAGAAATGAAGGCTCTACTCTTATTCTGACATTTCACATTCTTAAAATAAAGCAGTGATCCTAACTGACCTAAGACAGGGAATGTTAATGGGGTTAAATGTCAGACGTTGTGAAAAACAAAGTTTAAATTTATTTGGAAACTTGTGACTTCACTGTAGCTCTGGCTGATGATCCAAAACACACCATCATATTTGATCCACCGTTGGCTTTAATGCTCATGTTTATAATGTGGCTGGTGTTAGAGCAGTAGCACCATAATGTGTGGATATAAACACTGGGCTATATAATCTATACAGTTACACAGATACTGTATAGTATCAACTAGTGGGTGACGTTTGCATCTCTTTTGAGAATTGTTGATGTTCAAGGCAGGTTTGGTGACGTTATAACCATTTCATATCAGAGGGTCCACTATCTGCCGTTGTCCAGAAAGTACACTGAAAACATTGAAATAGAAATTAAGAGTGTTACGGGTGAATTTATTAATTTCTCATACGGGAAAGTCAGCAAAACTACATTTTAGACTTGTCAAAAGATTTTCAAGATGTTTCATCAGGATGATTGCTGTCTGGCACTACATTATGTGTCACAAGCTGGTTCCAGGGGCACCTGTGTTATATGGGAGAGGCATAGGAGGAATATTCGCAAAATGTTTAGGTTTGTCAGGCCTTTAGCCTGGAAATCATTTGAAATAGCTCACCCCCAACTTAAAAGCCCAGCATGAGTAAATGCTGGACAGTGGACCAGTTCTAGTAAATGTGTCAGGTTTGGCGGGTGAAGCTACCAAATAGTGTTTGTAGTGAACTCAATTATATTGCCAGACGAACTGAGGTAGAGAATAGTCTTTTTTCTAGCAACAAAAGTCCAGGATCAACATCAGGTCAATAATACAGTCCAAGGTCAGCGCTAGTTAACATCTACAGCTGGGAGATCCACAAGAGAGAGGTTGGGGAGGAGATATCAGACACAGCAGGCAATCAGAATCTGGGGGAATAAGGCAAAACAGGCTGGTCAACAGGCAAGCCAGGGTCAGAACAAGATAGTCAGGCATGAGAAAGAATACTGGAACATCAGAGCTGGGATCTAGAACAATCTGGCAACGTCCTGATGGGGGGAAGTTGCCTATATGCTTGTTGTAGCAGGTGTTGCCAGTCTGGGTGATGCGATGCAGGTGAAAACAATACTAGCTGATTAACGTAAAGAGTCCAAAACTGAGGTGAACCAAACAGGAAGTAATCTCAAAATAAAAGCCTGGGACTAGAAGTTGGTGGGAGAGAATCATGACAAAATGCTAAAACACTGTTCAGGGAATGACCTTCAAACTGAAGCTTAGATTGAACAGCCCCCTGGTCTTTTCTTTCAAGATCTATTTTTTTCTTATTGAACCCTGTTATATGATCAGCCTTTTAATTAATGCATGACTCCTGTTCCAAACATTGTAGCAATGCTATTCCTCTAACATTTAAAAGTACTTATGAACTGGATGGACTTCAGCTTCCTGAAGAATAATAATGTGGATTGTGCCTTTTTAAAAGCATGAATGTGTCCTCACCTCTCTACATTCTTCAGTACATTATTTTCCTGTTTTCAGAAAAATAATTTTTAAAGACTGAAAGTGACAGCTGTTTTTGCAGTTATCAAAACACAGAATTAAACATGCATGTAAATGATAAATTACTGTACATGTGAGACTGAAACAGAAAGTTTCTGATTTTCTTGGCGATCACCAAATGGAGGTTATAGCATGTGTGATTATTATGTGTCCCAGCACTAAATCCCTCATCCTTAGACCAAACACAGTGGAATAGGAAGTGTCTCCTAACCTCAGAGCTACCCTTGGTCCTCCTCCTTCTCACAGAGGTTTTGTAAAGTGGACAGGAAGCTGATGGTCCTGGCTGACCTCTGCTTTGTCTCACAGCTGGACAGCAACACAATGGAGGAGACAGCAGTATTCAGGGTGTCACTAAGCCTGCCTCCCATCTTCAGGATGCACATTCACCACAAGCTGAGATATGGAAATCATATTAGCAATGTTGTTGGTCAGTGTTTCACACATGTCACCAGTTATTAGCTCACCCCTGTGTTCTCTGGAGTTTTATTTCAAGCATGATATAAATGATATAATATATAATCCTTCAACCAAACTGAAGTGGGATTCTCATACACTTGGGAAGGTTCTTCAAATGTCTTTTGGTATACTAACTCTTTTGTTATAGATTAAGTCTTCTTAATATGTTTATCTCAGCTAAGGATATCTTGTATTTCTCCCATGGCTGGTTTTGATAAATGAATGTATTACAGAAACAATAGTGCCAGTATTTGGCTCCTTTACAGATAACAGGGGGTAACTTTGTAGATTTTGAATAAAACCTTAAACAGCCCATGGCTGCTTATTTTGCTTGTTTCCAATCATTTAATGTTTAATCTTGGGTACCTCTCAATTAGCTTTGCGCCCCTCATAACTCCAAATAGTCTGTAATTATTTCAGAATAATAAAACCAGAGATCCTCTTCCTAAAAATGATGCATAGTTTGTGAACACGCACAACTCCTGTTGCCAGGGTTGTGTCACAAGTGGACAGCACAAGGAACCGCAACAGCATTAATTAATGAGAATTTCTCCTCTATAGATATATGGTATATATATACAATGGTATATGTAGCAATGAAAAGAGATGTGTAACACTCTAAACAAAGCAGGTAATTGAGAAACCCCATATTTTAGCTGGCATAATGCAGACATAGTAACTTCTCCAGCCTTACAACAATTCTAACGTTAAAGAAACAAGGCATTAACAGACATGCAACGTGTTTATTTTTTGTTTGTTTTTTTATATAAATGTACCATTAAGTCCCACAGAGTAGTGGAAACATCACTCCCTCTCAAGTAGCTCCAAGGTTGGTAAATCCAACCCATGGTTGCTGCATCATCCCCCACACGACCACATACAGTCCCAAAGTAGTGAAATTAATTCCAACAGGTAGCGTAGCACCGACAATGACATCATGGATCATTAATCCACTGGTTAACCAGCAACACATCACCTGCAACAGACACTCTGGCCTCAAGCAGTCAAAACAAACAGGTACCGTGCTCTGGGGGAATCCAGTGTTGATGAGCTGATCACTAACCACCGCGGGGGCTTCACTGGCCGGCTGCTTGTAGGTTTAGACCCGGTCGGATAAAACAGCGACTCCCTTTACAGGAACATTCCTGGACATGCAGTTGTTAAGGTAGGGGACCAAAGATGAGACAAAAGACTCAAGATGCAAACTCAGATTGATGGGTATTATCAAAAGAGTTTTATTTCTAAGAGTAATGTAGGAGTCAGGTTCACCAGGATGGAATAGTTCTCTAGGAATCCGGATAACTGGACCGGTAAGCAGGGGAGAGGTGAGTTGGAGGTCCACAGGTCTGGCGACCAGGGTTGTAGTCTTAGACACTTCTCTGCAGTCTCTTTGCAGCTTCAACCCCATAAAGAGTGTGTCTGCCCCCCATATTCCTCACTGGATGATTTGATAAGTGAACATCACAATGGTTTATTGTGTCTTACTGAAACCTGATTACAGCAGGAAGAATATGTCAGCCTAAATGAATCCACCCCACCTGGTCACAGTAACTGTCACATCCCTCGAAGCTCAGGCTGAGGTGGAGGTGTGGTAGCAATCTTTGACTCAAGCCTATTAATCAACTCTGGACCTACACATAGTTATAACTCATTTGAAAGCCTCAGCCTGAGTCTCTTGCACCCAAACTGGAAAACTCAAAAGCCTGTTCTGTTTGTTATTGTATACCGTCCACCTGCCCCTTATTCAGAGTTTTTAAGTGAATTCTCAGACTTTCTGTCTGATTTAGTGCTTAGTACAGATAAAATAATCATAGTAGGCGACTTTAATATTCATGTAGATGCCGACAATGACAGCCTCAACAATGCATTCTGTTCATTATTAGACTCAGTTGGCTTCTCTCAAACTAAATAAACCCACTCACTGTTTTAATCACACTCTTGATCTGGTTCTGACATATGGCATCAAAACTGAACACTTAATAGTTTTTCCTCAAAACCCTCTTCTGTCTGACCATTGT